ATGAGCTATCATCTTAAACATTTGTCTTTATACCGGGAACATTCCAGTTACTCTCTTCTATAATAACATTTTAAAATATACAACAGATTACTGTTAACTATAGTCACCCTACAGAACTGTCCAACCCTAGGTCTTATTCCCTCTTGAGGAGACCACAGATCACCTGGTGACCATCAAGCAGGCCCCTTATCTGAGGAATTTAGAATTAGATATCCCTGTTTAATCTAAAGTTGGCACCTGGTACCAGGTTAAATCAAAGGAAATAGAGCCCAAAATTCTTAAATGAACTTAGAAGGATCCTGGCTAAATGAACCCAACTTGGATTGAATTTGCAAAAGATGAGACATTGGAAAAGGGACATGAAAGATCCACCACGGCATGCTCAGTCCTGTCTTGCTGAGGCTGCACTCTGCTCCAGCGCTCCAGCGTTCTTTCTAATAAAACTTTCCTTTTTCAAACCTATATTGTTGTCGATAAATTCTTCTTACCAACCAGCAAGTCGACCACTTTCTGATGCTGGGGCTCTTGACACCTTGCCCAGCACTTCTACCTATTTTTGTACCTATTAATGAGCCTGTTCATCCCCTTCTCCTGGCTACCTTTCCTGGCCTCTGGTAACCACCAACCTATCTTCATGAGATCCACTTTTCAAGTTCCCGTGATACTTTTCTTTGCCTGACTTGTTTCACTTAACATAATGACCTCCAGTTCCATCAGTGTTGTTGCAAATAGGATTTTATTATTTTTTATGGCTGAATAGTATTCCATTGTGTATATTCACATTTTCTTTATCCAGTCATCCATTGATGAACACTTCGGTTGATTCCATATTTTCGCTATTGTGAACAGTGCTAATAAGCATGGGAATGCAAATATCTCTTTGATATATTGATTTCTTTTTTTTTTTTTTTTTTTTTGTTTTTTGAGACCCCATCTTGCTCTGTCACCCAGCCTGAAGTGCAGTGGCACCATCTTGGCTCATTGCAACCTCCGCCTCTGTGTTGAAATAATTCTCGTGCCTCAGTCTCCCGAGTAGCTGAGACTACAGGTGTGTGCCATCACGCCTGGCTAATTTTTGTATTTTTAGCAGAGACAGGGTTTTACCATGTTGGCCAGGCTGATCTTGAACTCCTGACCTCAAGTGATCCACCTGCCTCAGCCTCCC